GCACACACTATATTGTTGAATATTGTTACGTTTGTTATAAGCTTTCATCAAAATCAAAGTTATTGTCTTGTCAGTAACTTTATATAACGTTATATTATAATCATTAGTTTGGTACCATTGCTTATATATGTTGGCAACTGTTAGGTCAAGCTTCTTTATCAAGTTCAATTCTCTGGAAAACTTTGAAAGGCGAAGAACAATTATCAAATTTTCAAATACACAAATTTTCAGTTGTCGATACATTCTTAGCCGTGCTCAGATGCTTGCATTCATTTGTTGTCTTTTATTCAAAGTGACCTAATATATTAGTTCATTGTATATAAGTGAGTTATCTATTAACATGGGTTAAATCTCTAAATTCGAACTTCCATAAGTTTTTTTGCCAGCGGTTCTAAAGCCTGGTTTGGGGCAATATTTCGGTCCAACTACAATCATAATTAATTCGAAAAAAACTCTCTATATGGTCACTCACAACCAGTATACATATAAAAAACAAACAAAGTTCCTGCGTTTTCTACAGTAATTCAATTCGGCTCGTTTGAATATTCTATTATCCTTTCAATATTCTGCGTTGCCGGGATAATACGATTACGAAAACTGAGTTAATTTTTTTTTTCAATTTTCATGATCCGAACTTCTGTGAAATGAATTTCTCAGTTTTACTCTTATACCAACGCACGAAAATGATACTGTTTACTTTCCCTTGCACTTTAATCAAACAATATTAAACGAAAATTCTTTTTGACAAATTCGTGAATGATAATATGGCAATTTTGGTTTGAATTTATCGGAAAATAGTTACGTTTAAAATAAATGGCCACGTCCTGTTACATAATGTTTACAAACTGGATCGATCGGGGCAAAGCAGACTAATTTAAACGCATTAGCTAATTGAAAATATGCCTTTTCCTGATAAAAATTGATATAATATATTTCTATTATCAGTCAAGACCCTAAATGAATGCATATAATACCTTGCCGTTTTATTAGTAGAAGGGTTGAAGCCAAATAACATGAAAAATTTATGGCAGGGGGTAGCATGCAAAATTAATATTACTTATATATATAATACCTATAATGTCATTGCCAGCGTCGCGACCTTATGACACAATACGCGAGGCGAATAAAGTAATAATCGACTCGGCAAAGTAAGCGCTTTGTATTGATATTGTAATTTGAATTATACCTTTGTTTGTCATTCCGTTTATTCGTGTTTTATCTCGCCTGCAAATTTCCACGGTTTAAAACTGTGGATGGCTCCTATAAGCAGACTCGATTATTCAGACCCAAACCCCGTTGAAATCACAAATAAAAAACATGTAAAAATAGTAAATTTTTTTTTTTTTTTAAGACTCTTAGGCTAGCACTGTAGTTCAATAAATCGGATATACTTATATTGTGATCATTTTTGATTGTTTAATATTACACTTAGTTTTAAAATTTAGATTGGAATGAGTAAAAACTTTTCCTATATTTATTTCAAACTCATTCAAAATGAAAAGACCCCAATAATCAATTTGACTCGGCATTCCAATGGTTGATTTTGTGTCTGAACCTAGAAAAACATTAAGAAATAAGAGCTAGTCTTTTTTTTTCGTCAAGAGGTGCTCTCACTCGTCTTGTGACTTGGTAGGTCAGTGCGCTTACACATTACCTTGTCTGTGTCTCATCGGTCAACTTTGACCTGTGACTATTGACCTTGGCTAGTTTGGTTTTAGATGTGTTTGGGAAAAGTTGCCTTTCCTTGTGTTGCACAATTTGTATATTTAACTTCTTCAATTAAAAAAAAATGCTGTTTCGTGTTATTTGCTATGATGTGGTCCCAGAACAATGTATCGTAATGCAATTTCAATGTTTTCCGTCGTTTTTATGAATCTGCCGACTACTATTAAATATATTTAATAGTGAAATCATGGTAAATTTACGATACAAGTAATGAAAATTGGCTGAAAGGTCAATTAGGAATGGATATGTTTTGCCTATAATAGGAAAGAAAATGTATAGAATCCTTCGGAAGAAGAGCGATACAAACTCAAATAAAACTGTTTAGCTTTGAAGACCAAAATACACTTTTCCGGATGTGGGATATTAAGCTGCTATATTTAGATGCCAAGAAAATAAAAAAAACGTTGCAAATTTATTTTGATACTCTTCCATGTGGAAGTTAAAATGATACTTATCTTGCATATGAGGATTCTTAGTACCGTTAAAACATCCGAAACTATCAAATATAGTTCAATAACAACAACAAGCATCATTGATTTACTATATTTAGTTCACACAAACATATCCTATATAAAACACAAGGTTTGGTGAAATTTGAATTTGAGATTCATCATCCCATTCCGTCGCAATTGTATTCATCCTGTAAGACCGGATTTTGATTTCATCATGTTAGGAAAAAAGAACGGTAATTAAACAGAAATTTATTGTAATTGTCGTCACTGATGAGTATAAATACAATAGACATATTTATTCGTTATTGGAATAACGCGTGGAATATGAAATCACAATCGCTTCACTATGGTTTATAGCAGGATAATATCCGTCGGATTCGTTTGGGCTTTTTCATCAAAATCATCTAATACAAAATCCTATTTGATTTGTTTTGATTTTATTTATTTATTTGCCCCCTATATTCACTTTCATTTTACTTTTGATTAATGGCTCTTCGTGTAAAGAACAGGGACAGAAAAGTTCGATTTTTTGTTCACATCTGTTGAGTTTACTCCATTTGCGCCCTTTGTTGTATAATTTTAGAATGCTTGTTACTTACTATTCGTCTATCTGATGTCGATGATTTGGTTACTTATTCAATGGTGTGGTACCAATGAATCAAATGTTGTTGAAATGTTGCCTTTACCAAAATCATACAATGAGATAGCTGTGCCGGAATATACAGATCATAATGTAACTGTTATAAATACGCATGTAATATTCAAGAGATGTGAGCAATTGCTTTCAGCCTGTATAAGAACTGAAGATAAATCTTATGTCTTAGGTCCAGTATGCATTTTCAATAATGCAATCACTTTATGCTTATTGTTGTTCGTTCCAAAGTATATTATATTTGGGAAATTCCATTACTGAATTTTATATTTTGATTTGTAATGATAACATGCGCGTAATTGTGTGTAACTCGTTTCTATTTTAGAACATAGTGTATCGGAAATAATAAAATAAATATGCCTGTGGCAATTTGGAATTTTCGTTTCAAATTTTTGCTGAGAAACAACATTAAATTTAGTTTGAGATGACAAAAGCAAATAGTGCGTTTTCAAAACAGGAAGGCCGGGAAATTTTCTTTCTGCCTTTTATGAGGATGACACCTACCTTAGATATATATTCTCTGCTTTAGGCTTTCAAATTTGCATTGGTAATCCAAAACCATTGGCGAATCACCAGATCTTTTTCACACTTACATCCCAATTCTCAGCTTTTACAACATTTGATACCTATTATATGTAAAACAGGCATTTATGTTGCTGACAAATAATAAAAATAGAAAAAATAACTCGAATAGGGTAATAATACGTGTCTATCGATTCTCTTAGTCTAAAGTCTAAACACTTTCAATCATGTCTGTATACCTCTGAAAAAGGAGCGATCATCATCGCTATTGTTTTGATGAGCCAATCAGGCGACAGAATGATATACATTCACCTATTGTGCAATGTCTAACAGTTGAAAAATCAAATATTCCACTGGCAATTTCATGATTTGATTAAAGTCTTCTTAGTTTGATTATGATAACATAAAAGCTTCTTAGTAACCTTGTTTTATATGGCAACACTCTTAAAATGAAACGATTTACCAATAGCTATATTTATGAAGTATTTAAACTTGGTCCAATTGTGTTGGAGTGAGAGCCAATTCAGTTTACAAGTTTATGACCCAGATTAAGTTACGCGTGCGATACATTAACTCGAAAAAGCTAGTCAATTTACTAAACACGTTCACTTAGGTAATCAAGCAAGTTTAGAGTTAACCTATGCTGGGGTCAAGACGGTGAATGTCGTTAATAATCGTCAATGGCAATGAAACCGAATGCGTCGGACGTCGCGATTCGTCAAAATTACGCTAATGATATGTAGTTGTACGATCTGTGTAGAACGTTCGTGCGTCCAATGATATTATCTCCATTCCGCTACTTTAAACAGACGCATAGACGCAAATCGAGGTTCCGTTTTATATTGGGTTGCGTAACTTGTGTTTTCAGTTATTTTGAGGAATTAGTTTGTTTTAAATGTTTTTAGATATAATCATAGGTAAAATCGTTTTATATTGAGCTTGTGGTAAGATAATTTGCATCGAACAAAGTTAAATATTGAGCAAAATTGAATTGTTATGTTTGCAATTGCCAATCTCGTGTTTCAATCAACCTCTTCTTTAAGACTATTTTTTCGTCTGTGCAACGAACCGATTTGAATCGCGAATTGTTGCTGCTTTCATGTTATTCTAATCAGACATTGTTTAAGAGGAAAAGTGGGCGGAGTGTTCATGTTCGGTTGGAAAATTCTGGTTAAATAAATCCATACGGTTGTGTGGTATTTAAGTAAAAAAGACCAGTTTTGACGAAACATCCCAGTTATTAAAATTTCCCCCTATGTTGATTTATTTCGATTCTAAATTCGAATAGATGCATATTTATTAGACGCATTAGTTAGTACTTTATGAGATTCACTTTGTATTTTTCATTTTATGAAAGTCCCTCTACTCATAGTCTACTATATTCCATGATAAATTTAGTACCTGTTTCAGTAGCCGCATACAGCCTTCGGCTCCTACTTATGGTAGTTTCTGTATTCTGTATATGGTATTGTCTGTATGTATTTTGGTATAAGTGTTATAATACGATACATCAGAATTTTCTATTAGACCTTTGCTTGTGTTACGTGACATGAATGGAACTTTAAGACATAATGAATACACTATTTTATCCTTAAATAATGGTATTTTTACGATATTATCAATATAATCAAAAGAGTTTATAAATTTAGAAGCTTTAAAAGAAGCTGATATGTCCTCGGATGAAAATTATGATGAAGCAAATAATTGTTCAAGAGATACACCCAATACACCAAGTTCTCAGGAGGACATTCTGTCAAATCAGGAGGTATGTTTCCAGGTATTATCACATGAGAATACAAATTTTTCTTTTCTTTATATTTTTCTGGTATTCTAAAATTGTGATATTGTTTAGTATTAGCTCTTCAGCCTCGAACCTAAATGATTGTAACTAATATGTAGGCTTGAAGTTATATGAATTATTCAATTAATACGTTGGTGGGCAATATGTTCAACGAATACGATTACATCTATTGATGCCTTTAACAAAGTACTGCTTATTATTACGATTTTTTTCTCTCTATTATACCAAGAAATTATAAAAAATTAATCGTACTTATGATATTCCATTTTCTCATAGTTGTGTACTATAAGTCACACGTTCATATTGGCATTCTTTTTTTTGTCTGAGTATGTATTCATGGGAGGGCCTTATCTTTCGTTTCTCATTCTCGGTTTTCCCTGACCTTATAATAAACTGGGCTGGAAGTGCAAGTGAGAATGATTTTGATAGTTTCTTGTTCCATCTGACGAATTTTGCGGTCAATCAAATCATTTATATATTTGAAAGTTATATTCAAAACAATGGTACAAATTAGCCTATTGTCGGCATGAATCATACTCACGTATTTTACTTGAATGCTATACCATCCTTTACACGTTCAAAGGGCTCCTGTGACGACCGTCTACCGCCACCACCTCCACTGAGACCGGATAATGAAATACAGGCGAAAACAGATATGCTCTGCGGCAAAAGTGATGCCTTCAACGCGGCAGATACTGACTCGAGTCCTCGGTCATCATTAGGCAATGACGCAATTGATAATCCCACACACGAATTCAGTCGAACAGATCAAAATTTTGAAAACGAAGAAAATACATTATTTAAACCTTTTACGAATTTCCATAATATGAAGAAACACTCCCACGATGGCGTGGAGGTCCCTGAACCAAGATCCAGTCCAGACTACTTGAACTATCTTAGAAATTTCATATCGAAAACTATGCAAAATAATAATGGTAGTGGAGATGTCAATGGAAATGTGTTCAGTCATTTACATTCTAAAAATGACGGAAGAAAAGAGAAACAGGACGGAGAGGTTTTCACAGATAAACATATGCGCACTATGTGGCAAAATATGATGATAAATCCATTTCAACTTATGGCCAAACTTATTATTGATTCTCGAAATAAAGCACAAAAAGAGAACGAAAAAGTCGAAAAAATGGAGAACGAAACTGATGTCTCGAAAGGAGATTCTTTTCCGACGAAAATGCCTCCGACTCTGGCTGCGATTAGAAATCATATTTTGAACAAAAAAGTCGTGTCTTCCGACACCGGTAATGTGGATAACGATACAAAATCCGATGCCTCACGTAATACCTACTCCGTGTCGGGACGAAATCCAGCACCAATCGAGGAACCACGGGGGGATTGTAAAACTAACTTACAAGCCAGTCAGATTCACTCTGAAGTACACAAGGACTTGCCGGACTCGACAAATGTCGATGCTGGTTTTCAAGCTTTTGTAAAGTCGAATGAAGCATTTATGGCAAACAGTAAATCATCAAACAATTACATGGGTTCAAGAACACCACCTGAAAGTAATATGGAAATTTGGAAAAAAATTAGAGATCACCATTTTTCATTAGGATATTCGCAAATCCCGACTTTGCCATGGTCTACCCTGAATTGTGAAATGCAAAAACAGCCAATACCACCTACAACCCAAGGTTCTGGAGATTTACATGAAGTTAGTTCATACCCGCATATGCCAGTCTCTTTCCCTAGTTATGAAAGGCGAGATAGTGACCACAACAAAGAACATGATGTTGCTTCTTCACCAAAAGCATTGAACTTAGCAATGAGACCGAGAGATTTACCAAAGGAGCAAAGTGACAAATATCCAAATTCTAAGGAACGTTCCGTTTCATCTACGTCCTTGATGGAAAAATGGCCGACAAGTATTCCTGGTCCATCGGAAAACATCTCTAGTCAAGGTATAAACCAGATTGTTCGTCGTCACGAAATATCGCATATTGTTCCACCTTCTCACCATTCATTCCCGATTCCACTTGGTACTCTTCACGAATATCAAAATATTTCACAGCCCTCTTTTTACAGTCCATGGGCGATGATATATCCCCCAATTTATCCGTCTCTGGATCCATTAGCGTCAAATCCTCTTCTTCAAACAGTTCATCCTAACTTGTCAATGCCGTTCGGAAATCAATCAATGCCAAGTCGTAGAAATAGAACATCACCCTTGTCGCCTTCTCGACCATCGTCTGATCCAAGTTTTATGTCTGGAAATAGAAAATCTTCTTCGTCTCGTGCAAAGGTGAATTCTAATAATCCTATCGACAGTCTCCATGCTGCAATTGTGCGCGAAGCTAAAGAAATGAACAAAGGAATGGATCCTGAAAACATGTACATTGAATGCCCTATATGTCATAAGAAAATCAAACGACTTTATCATTTTCAGAGGCATATGCGTATCCACAGCGGTGATAAAAGTCACACTTGTCCGTTTTGTCCTTACAAATCAGTGAGAAAGGATAACCTTAAAAGTCACATGAAAACGCACGAGAAAGGTAAATATGATGCTACCAAACGAGTTCAAAGTCGACGAGACCTTGCATCTGGACCTAAGTTTCCATCGAGGCCGGAGTATCGTCCCACAAGCAATCCAAATTTTTCATCTCACACTAGTTTGCGATCTCCGTCTAATTCTGTTTCATCCACCTCGAGCGGGAGTTCTTCTCAGTTCTTTTCTTTCCAGAGGCGTCATACAAGTACTAGACCGACCACCCCTCCAATTTCAGGCGATATTCCTAGGTATACTTTGAATACACCAAAGTCTGATTTGGGATTGATGTCTCCAAAATTCAGTGACAATTTTGGTCATCCTGCGGTAGGGCTTCCGTACAACGGTTATCCGACTATTCCTCCATTTCTACGTTTCCGACCGCAAGGAGAAATGACTGGCACTACGCAACCGTCTCCGGGATGCATTACAGAAATAGAAGATCATAGAAAATCCCTGTCACCACCTACTAAAGTCACATCAAAAGCAAGCAACAATAAACTACTAACACCAGGAGAACAAGTAAGAGACAAGGTGATCGAACCGGTGAAAAAAGACCACGAACCTTTTATCTCACCGCGAAAGCGCATTTCCGAATCTAACACTGAGGACGAACCTAAGCGTTACAAGATGGGTTCATCCAGTCTATCATTCCTGGAAAAAGACTTGCTTTTGGCAAACATTAATAATAGCAATAACTTCGACACAAATTCATCTCAATTGTCTACACCAATAAATCTGAAAAATCACCTTGAAAAATCTAATAATTCTCCAAAGGATGGAAACTCTTCGTTAAAAGAAGATTTGTCTGGCGATGAAGTGAGAACTCAAATTAATCAAGAGACAGATAACAGGTAATGAATTTATCATTGTTGTTTGGTGATTATTTTGACCTGGAAACAACATTCAATCGATTCAATTTCTTGACGAATTAGTATGCCAGTGTGTCAACTGTATCAATTACGTTTATCAATCATTGTGTTTAGAGCCCATATTACAAGCACCAAAAAGGAGATTATTAATTGTGAAAACGACAAATGGATGATGAATGGAATGGCATATCCACACAACATTTGTGAAACCGAAAAACTTCAGAAAATTGTTAATCCGAGAATATCTGTTGATGAACAAAACGGGGATTTTGAGCAACGACGTCAGTTTTTACACTTGGCGAGTATGTTCGGTAAGTCACGTTTAATTCGGTCTCAAATTATATCTTAAATCCACTACCTTAAAACCTTCGAACCAGGCAATATTTGTACTCATGCCACGAAAGCAGACCAGAAACCGGATAAATAAAATATAGGAAAATTTGGAACTTTGAGAACATTTCTCACTAGACGCATTTAATTCTAGAGTTTATTATATTGAATGAATATGTTCCTGTGTTGGTAAATTTGAAAACATTAAGACAAAACACCCAAGTTTGTTTGCTTGCATTTTGCCAATCAAAGACAAAAAAATGTATTGCAAATTAGGTGAACATTATCATTTATTTTAACAGTATGGACAGATGTTTTTGAACTATTTTGATTATTTCGTCTTGATTCTCTATTGAGGATAAATACCACTCATATGACAAGTAATAATCACCTGTAAAATACAAATTAATTATACATTTGAAGAATTGCACAATAGTTAATTTGGAGTTTAACTCAATAATTGTGAGATGTTACAGATTGCTAACAGATCGTATTTTTATCGTGAAAAAAAAACTAATCAAAGTTTAGGTGTGGTCTATTTGTAAAAAACTTGAAAAACTGAATGAATATAAATAAAATTTACACCTAAAAATAAAACTAATGAGCGCACATGTTTTTGTTGCGGTGTGATTTTCCGTATTACTAGAATGAAAATTGATAAGGTTATGGATTGTCAGTAATAATTTTATATTTATGCAAGATTTATGAAATTTTCCCCAATAGTTTTTATTTTTAACTCGTCCTCAGTGTGATTCAAGGACGTGGTAAATTGATAATCAGTATACTTTTTCGAAAATTTCGTCCATATAAAGTTACTTCAAGTTAGTAGCGAATTTGGGTGGTCGCCAGATTTCTGAGTCATAAAATGAACACACAGATGGAACATTGATATGTTTTTCGTTCATGTTCAAAAGTACAAAATTAGCATCATCATATAATGGAAGATCCCTATAAGTCGATTTAAATTGTTGCTTTGAGATGTACACGACATGCTTCTATGTCTTTTACAAGCATGATTTACAAAACATTGTGCTCTGAATATTCCTGTTTCATTTTATGTCCAATCATACGCGCACTAAAATGTTCCCAGACTTGCATCAAATTTCTATCGTCGGTTATATGTGGTTTTGTGTGCTATGAAATAACATATTAAAATTATACCAAACAGCAGCACGACGTATCGTCGTTTAAATTACCACGGGGATTAAATGTGCAATATAGATTGGTGTTTAATCGGGGTTGTTCAAATCAAATAAAAAATAATCACTTTTAAAGATTTAATATAATCTACTGAAACCGCCAAATAGATATGTTTTTCGAATGTATGAATACGTGAACAATAAATGAAGTAGAGCTAAGATAAAGAAAACAATGTTACAATTCGATATTTGATTTAGTTTATCAACACATCACTTGGTACTTCAGGAAAGTATAGCGGAGAAATTGCCGTTGGTGGTATTCATAACAACAATACGCTAACATATTAACAAACCCTTTTCAATCCTTTAGTCCTTACGAATATGCTTAGGAAAACCGAAGGCTTGTGACAGTGTGAAAAATATAATATATATATGACTATAAAGGGTGTCAGAATGTTTTTGCAATACGTTTCAAATTGTTTTCAAATACGTTACAGTTTGAGAGTTAACGACACTAAATAAAATGTCAAACGTTCATAAAAAAGATTCGTTGGCATTCTTACAAACTCACTCCCTACAAATTGGTATGACTATTAATTTGTGATAGAATGCAGCATAATATGCGCAAGGGAAATAGAATTCCAAAAACATGACGGAATTTTAGTCATATGGAATTTTTACTAATTTGAAAATACGTATTTATTACTCGCCAAACTAAGTCACTGAATATCGTCAAAATATCCGGAATGCATCTAGGATTTAAAATGACATTTTCTTTTTATTTATCCAACTAAAATAACGATGTTTGTTTTAAAATAAATGTGGTGCCTTCATTACATTCTGATGAAGCAATTTTTACATTTTTAAATTAATTTTGAGGTTTGTTCTCAGCAAACAAATTCTTAATTGTCGTTATAACAAGTATTGATAAATTGGCATTTATATACAATATATAAAAACAATATTTCAACGACCCGATTTTTAAAGAATATGACAATATTGAGACAATTAAAATGAGAACTATATATTGTAAACAATATTGACAAAGTTGTACATGCTTAATATGAAAAAAATACGTAAACCCAATCCTAATTACCTTCCCAGATGTGGGTGGCACAGTTAAAGTTGGAACGATATAAAATTGTTAATTTTAAGTATCCAAGTTTGATGCAAATGAGATGAAAAAAGGGAAAAAACGAGACTAATACCCACAAAAATGTGGGACATCGAATTGGTATTTTACTAATAAAAAATAATGGGTTTTAATTCTAGGAAGCTTATCGCTGTCCTTGTATAGTCAGTCAGTGCAGCTTGGTCATGAAATTTTGATTTAGCCTAACCTCATCCACTTGATACTGTGGCCTGATGTCACCTGAACCTCTTGTCGCAAATTCTAGGAACAAGTAAAGCCTTTAAATATAGGTTTGCAAGTACCTTAGACATGGCTTACCTGGGCGGATTATTTTTAGGGTCACTGTGGAGAATTGATTTCAAAACTTCAAATAAATTTGTGTTGCGCACAACTTTAAAACAAACAATTTAATCATTTGAACTCGGATACTGAGAACTGAGATTTTTAAAAGATTTATAATGAGATTCAAAACTTTTTCGTTGCGTGGGGTAATAAAAAACTCCTGTAATCGTCACTTTAGGTCAGTAGGATTCGGATTATTTCAAACCTATTTGATTTATAAAACCAGAGCAGCTTTCTTTGGGATGAAACAAAAAAAAGTTGGAAATATTAACGATGATGATTACTTTTGATATATATATATATGCAAACAGAAATCTCAAATTATTATATTATTATTAAACCATATTTATTCCAATAAAAAAACTTCAAAATCTCTGGAAAGCAAAATATTTTTCCTTCTAATATATGTATTGCCATACTGATTTAATATTAATTTTATATTCTCTATACGTGATCTTCCGCATACATAGTATAAACCAAATTAAAATCCCTCTTCAGACATAAGCAGTATTAAGTATTTAACATTAAAATTCCTCATTCTTTTTTTTTTGATACGAGTAAGTATTTCATCATCGATGCCTACGGGTAAATGATATGAAGATATGATTTCATTGTAAACAAATTTTACCAAGATGTTGAATAATCAAGTAATATTGAATTTCATATTTCCTGTGAAGAATTGGGAATAATTGTAAGGAAATTCGATTCACTTTATGCGTTTTTAAAAAGTGTTCTTGGTTATTTCGATTCCGGATTAAATCGGACTCATGTAATCCATCTATTAATATCTGCCGATCTTAACGATAAATTACGTATTCCTTACTAAGGTATTTATTCCCGAGTACATAGCCTCAAATAAAAATATAAATAAATAAGCTGATGTCAACCTGGTTTCACGCCCTTTTCAACTCTTTTATCAGACATGGAAAACTTGTTTCGGTACTCCCGTAGTATATGTACCAGGTTAGGGTTATGCCATACTTTTATTCCGATTTTCCTCATTCTAGACTATCACGAGTTCAGGGACTGTCTGTGTTAGTCAATAGAATACACCCATAGGTTTTAGTCCCTTTACACAACTTAATGTAAACACGCGAACAAAATTTGTTACCTGCATATTGGTACACGTACTTCTGGAGCGCCCTTGTTTCTTTACTCGAGGGTGAGTGCCTGTCATGTTATCTGTATTTGAACACAAAAGCAAGTATACGAATCATTCTGTCAAGTTTAACAATGATTAAATTTTAATTCCAATTATAAAAAAAAAATTAAATAATAATTTTTTAGTTTTTGGCCACTTTGATTTGAAAAGATAGATCCTTTTATATTTCAGGATTTCCACATCTGAATACTACATTCAAAACATCAGATTTGCTAGAAAAACAGCATGCAGATGATATTCAAATAGATCATGCAACGGAACGAAATATTTCCAGAAAAATCTCTCAAAATGGTTTGAAAGAAGACAGATCTATAATCAATGCAGAATCGTCTTCCACTCGTGATTTTGACGGTAAAAAAGAAAAAGTTTCAACCAACAAGAGAGATGAAAGGTCTGGTGGTACAAGGTACACTTTCATATCTTCCAATGACGCACACGCAACATACACTAGCAAATCAGATTTAGATCAAAAGAATCCAAGATCGGATAGAGAAATGAGGAATGTGACCTCCGAAGACGGTGAGGATGTCAAAATCTGCGACGAGAATGAGGAAAAACCAACGTCCCTCTCAATGCCATCATCTTGTAAGTAGAATGACTTTCCCTAATGATAAACAAATTTAGTCTTTAGTAATTGTCAATAAAATTAATAATATTCGTAATCGGTTTATTTTGTTAGTCATTTTTTGCAGACAATAATATTTAGTGTCTACCATTTTTCAATTTTTTATTCCAGATAATGATGTTTTGTCGACCATACGATCTGGAAACGGAATTTCATCCCCGAAAGACAACAACTCACAATATCGTTGTAATGGTAGTCAACAGCAACAACAATCAAGCTGGTTGGCTTCCACGAGAGAATTGAAATGTCGTCTTTGTGATTTTATAGCAAACAATAATGCTTCATTACAGGAACATATGTCGATTCATAAGGAAGATGGGATGTATAGGTAAGAAATATTAGATTTTACATATAGAAGCAAAATATGTTTCTTGAGAGGATCGACTGTTTCCATGTTTATTTCAGTTACCTAAGTTTAGTTCTCAAAGTCACAAAATTATCAAGTGAGCAAAAGTGAAGTAGGATTCAGACATTACTTCATCAAATTTTGTGTTACGTGGACGCCATTATACATGCCTATTAATCATTTTAGTAACTGAACCTTAATTTCTTGTACAGGCTATATAAACCTAATTCTTAAGTTTTGCGTTTTTTGCGTACGTTGTCGTCCGTTCGTTTGGTTTTTGTAGTGTTGATGCGAAAATGTTAAAAATAGACTTGTTCTGTAATGTATGTAAACAAATGTCGTCTTCATAGGTGCCAACACTGTGATTATCACGGTAAGAATCTCAGTAAACTGATCGAACACATTCGTATTCATACTGGAGAACGTCCGTTTCAATGTGATCAGTGTAGTTATGCTGCAAAGCGTAAGGACAACCTGGCCCAACATAAAAGCGTTCGACACGATAAAAATCGTTTCAAAGGAGCGGCTAGAGTTTTGAAACCTACTGGGTCACAACAAGACGAAGAACATTTTTCGAAATGCAGTCAAGTACCTGTACAACATCGCAATCCTGAATACAGATCCATTTTGATTCCGTCTACAGATACTCTAAACTTGGAATCAAGGCCGTTGAGCGCTCTTACTAACGCATTTTCGGAAAGAAGATCGGTAGCAACGTGCGGTGATTTGCTGTCTAAATTTGGACAAGCAATATCGCCGGCGGCTAGCAAGTACAGTACACGAAACGCTGACAAAAACGCTGGAGACTTGTCATCAAATGTAACTTTGACGAAAAACTTTTTTAATTTGTATAACTACCCCACCCAGCCTGTGCTTAATTACGGAGGAATGACTTCATCTTTCATGTACGGACACCCCCTTATAGCTCCGTCTGTATTTTCAACGATTCCAGCCTCGTTATCCATCGGCGACAAACCGATGAACGCCCACACAATGACTTTCTCTTCTCGTTTCCCTGAAACCGCTTCCACGAATCCCATGGCTATAAAAAGCAATTCTCATCTCCAGTCGGGCGGAAGCAAATTCACAAAAACTCTTCAAGAATGTGCTCGATGATTTTTGCAATTAAATTTGAAGTGAATACTGAAAAAGCACTGTATATTTTGTAATTTTTTCACCCCGAAACCCGTCTTTCATTTCTGTCAAACAACGATCCACGATGACAACGTTCTTAGGTAGCAGAGCTCCGCCATTATCGTCTCGTAAACCATAATATCCAAACCACGACAACGAAACCCGGAAGGACCATGATTCACATACACATCACGACAAGTACGAAGGATTCTGCAATATATGAGTGCCATGGTGAGAATTTCATTGGTTACACATAGGTTAAAACGCTGTATTTTATTTCACAGTAATATTCCAGTTAAACAAAATGTTTTCAACAGCAAATAGTCGAGTTGGGATTGAATCATTTTATCCACATGCTTTACAAGAACAAACCAGATGTCTCTCCCCAAGTTTATTCGTTTAGCGCTTAATTCGAAACTTATAATGGTAATAAATTATATAATATTGCTTAAAATATTTTATTTCGTTTGATGTCAAAAATAGGCAATTTTTACGTTTACGTAAATATTCCGATATATTTTCATATTATTTTTCAAAGTTCATAGGACACATTTTTCCAGTCAAATTGCAAAAATAATGTTTACTGGGAATCAGAAAACTGGTTTCCGAATGCACATAGAAATAACTGTTGAATTCCGTGGTATCTTTATATGTTCACTTTTAAAAGGTTAACTAAAGTACACTCTTCAAATTATAAATTTCTGTCCGTTACAAACAATTCATAGAAAATCTGACAATAAAATTATATCCCGCTTCGTGGAAATTTCAAATCCCTTCACGAAAATAAGCAGCGACTGAATTTTTGTAATCGCGTTTTGTGGGCTGCATAATAAGTAACATTACTTTATTTATACGTTATATTCAAAATTTATTTGGATTGCTTTTTTTCATCTAGACACAATACTAGATATAATACCAGATAATAAACTGATTTTTATTCAGCTTTTTAGTCATCATAATGTTATATAATTTGAAAAAATCAAATTTTTGAAAGCAGTTTCCATTTTGTGAAAATCGTTTATATCTTTTGAAGAAGATTTTAATTTAACTAAGAAAAAATGCGTCCTCCCGACCCTTTTCTTGTAGCAAACATTTGTTTTTAACCGAGACGAAGTCACAATCATAAGGACTTTAACCTTGACAGCGTGCTTTGGCATTTTTTCCAATCTAACTAAAGGTTGAGCAAACAATCACTTAATTGTTATTTGTGCCATGGTCGAATTCTAATCGATATCTATTTTTAGCTTGACATGTATTTGTTTTCAAAATAAGTTATGCACCTTAGTGACCCTCAATAAATACAGTCAAACAAAAAATCTTCTACAGATATCCTAAATAGGAAAAACTATGACATAATTTTCATAGGCTGTAATCTTGTCTCTAGAACTAACAATGGAATCCCTGTTGCTATCGCTGATCCCCACAAGCGTCACCAAGCGAAGTGAAAAATGCTAATCAGCAATATTTTTCGTGTTTATATTAAGATTCCATGAAATATAAATACATCTATTAATCAGTAATGCCGTTATTCTAGGTTTGACATATTTTTCTAATCATACACACCGTCAATCATGGGGAACTTGGGTTCAATTGATAAGCCGTGGCCCACATATAAACTGTGTTAAATCATCTCTGTCATATAGACTTGATGTACATTCGTCAACGTGCCATGTTTGATACCTGATAAACTATTCCATTACATTTATCGCATGATTGACTACGGATATTTCTGCTATAATAATGTCAGTGAACGTTTAGGCCTGTAAAGATCTAAATATGTTACAATCTCCCATTTGTTTGGGTATTCGTAGATAACACTAAACTTTGAGTTTAAGACGCGATTGGATTTGTCAGTTTGGGCGGAGTTTGGTAGTCACGTCCTGGGGATTAAGAATGAACGGGGTTCCTACAAGTGTATGTATAAACACACGATACTCGTCTTAACAACTATTTATCGACAAGGCTTTAACAAAGAACATTCTGGGATAGGATGTTGTGATCTTATTTCGTTGATGCGAAAGTTGATGCAAACTCGACTGATCTTTTTTTCGTGTTAATCTGAGTCAAAATGGCGCCTGGATCTCTAACTCCGATTAGTGATGTGCAAGATGCTCTTTTCTGTATTTTCTAAAATTTTCATATTTATATAAAGCCTCTATAGCAATTTAAAATGATAAACTTATTGTTCCCTATCCACGTCTCCCAGCCTGATAGGTATTTCGTCTTTCTTAGGGAGGAATTTTTCTCTGTATTCACTGTTAAATTGCTAATATTCTTCAGTTCTTTATCGCTATAATATATACTTATTATGTATACATTATATACTAATGAAATTGTGCCAGACCGGGAGAACGACTTGTGCTGACACTGGATAAGTATCCATTAGTACGAGAGGAATAAAGAGTTCCAAAATTGGCGAAGTGAGAAATTCAACGAAAAAGTTTGGGAACTGCTCGTTGTCTTGGGTAATCTGACACTGAGTCACCACAATTCCATTAAGAAGCTTATTTTTTTCCATATTCATATTCCAAAGTCGTATATCATTCCTAATCTGAAACATAAATTTGAATTCTACACAAAAGTGTATCCGCATAAACAAACAGTACGACAAACATTGGTTTTTACGCCAATGGGACCTTGACTCGTACTACCATTTCTGCACGTCCTCGCCATGCTGATACTAATTCCCTATATTGTTGTATATTTCACCTTTAAGCCGTTATTCAACATGTGTTAATACTTGAAAATGTGAGAAGTATACAATAGAAAAAGCGTAGTTCATTGCTGTTGGTTTATTTGATTTCGTACATGTTTAAAATTCTTTGTGAATGCGATTTAATAAATCCTGCAATTGTGATAACCGGTGATATTACATAGGTAAAATTAAACGATTTAGTTGTCTGCGTCAATTACATTGTAAATATATATATATATATATATACGTCATGTCATAACATTTAAAAAAAATACACCGAATACAAAATTAAGAAATGTCATGTGGGGCGAGGTCAACCAGTACATCTTGTAAAGTAAAATAATTATCACTTTTATAGAACGACACGAATCATTTCGATTGCAAACAGGTGCATACGTTTTGTTTTGGTTACCAATCGCAAAAGACATCCGCCATTTTGAATATCGCTATGTCCCCAGTTTCGAAGTTTATGCATTTTGAGTTTAGATTGAAGGTTTGTTTATAGAATATTATAAACAAAAAATATGTAAAAAAAACACGCCCAATTGGAGAAGCGACGTTTGCAGTTGCGGAAGCGAGAAAATTAATATATTTATTAATTCTATCAATTGGTGCGGCCGTTAAAGGAAATTTGACAAGTTTAAATAGTAATATTACCTTTTCATGCATGATTCATGGATGATGGCTTCACATCTGTTTATCATTCAATTTTAATTAGCAGTACAAAAAATAAATAAACAGTATCTAGATTGAGTTTGTTTATTTAAATCACAATTTAGGTGATATGATAATATCTTGTTACGCGGAAAACAACCTAAAATTTGCATCTTACTATAAATTAAAATTTGTCCTGATAAACAATTAGATCTATTTATTTTTTCTCAATTAAACAGTGGGTTTTTTGACAGGCGTGTAATAATGTTAGTAGTAGTTAAATGTTGCAACATCGACTATATCGCAACATCGACTATATCGCAACATCGACTATATCGCGCCATCGACTATATCGCGCCATCGTCATGAACTTTATATCAGAATCCGACAGCATTTGAAACAAAACTGATAGTAAAACAACTCTAGCTACAGAATATGATGGGATGGACCACGAAAAATGTCTTTAATCACTATGAGATGACGTGATTTTAACATTAAAAAACCTATCACTCCGTGTCATTCAATACTCCTGTTGATCTTCGCGGGAAACATGAAATCTTGAGTGGCCCAGATTCATATTGGTATAATTCCCACTCAAGGGTATAATTAGTTTGGATTTGCAATCGAATATTGTGCTTCAAGGTTACATAAAACATATTATTAGTTTTTTTTTTAAATTACTCATTGCCGATAACGCGGATTTGCCTAACAGTGACTATTGTAGAATTTTCGGGAGTAAAACATTTCATTCAAAATATAGAAATTTAATGCTTAGCAAGAATAAATAAGCCAAAATACAAATGGCTTCTTTTCGTCTCGGCGCATTCTCAACTTTTTCTAATTTCGAGGTATTCATATTCGATTCAGTCAAATAGCTTCAACATCTCAATTTGAATATTTAATCTACTATTTTACGAAGTATATGTACGAGCAGATTCTACATAACTGCGTTAGCTATTAACCACAACAAATTGTATACAAAAAAAAATGCTATCGTTCCACTTGCGGATATACAAACTTAAACAAACAGACGAGAGTTATCTCCACATCAGGTTTATGACACATTTTTCAACTTTTTGTTGTTTATGTTTATTTGTGTGCATAGTTGATATAATTTAAATTACGCAGAATTTTTTAATTCTATACATTTTTTAAGAAAAAACATTTTTTTATCAACCGAAAGATCGTTATGGCTATGTACATGGAAATATATGCGTCAATTGTATTTATATATATGATATATATTCAGAAAAACATGTATTTTAGAATATGCTGAATTGAACTATTTTGATTTACTAGTATATAAGATTACATGGGATGTGCTTGGTTAGTGTGAAATTAAAAAAGTGTGTAGAGGGTTAAAAGTGATCATATAATGTGAGATTCGTAGTAAAATTGACGATTTCTCGCAAATGACACCGACCAATGTTTGCCATATTATTAAAGTGTGGAGCAATAATGTGGACATAGGTCATTCAACATATTTATGGTCGTCGAAGGGAAGCAAACAAACAATAAACAAGAGTAAAAATAACGATAGTTATCCCTTGGCAAACAATGGGATTCTTTGTAAGTCGTGATAATATAAAATAGGTCTGTTAGCCAGCACAGAGGTAGGCTATCCTTAACTCTTTGAACTCTGACGGCTCTGAGCGAAGTTACTCGCTCACCCTGAAGGTTCGCGGCGCCGTATTGGTAGAACAATAAAATAAGTCTAAATACTGGCTATTTGGCACGCTTATAACTTTTTATCAATTATAGGTAGCACGTTGTGTGACATTTCAATCGAAAGGAAATTTTATCGTGCATTCAGAATTTATTTTCCATTTAGAAATACATTTTGTCAAAATTAATAAAATTAACCCTAATCTAACAGTGATTT